AAAAAAAAAAAAAAAAGTATCTCCAGCCACCCTACAGGCTGCCTACCATGTTTCCACCTAACTTAGCTCTCTATAAGAGTAGGAACAACACTTGGTTTTGGTTTTTTGAGACAGCGTCTTGCTATATAGCCCAGACTGGTGGAACTCCTGGTGAACCTTCTGCCTCATACCCAGCTAAGAGTTTATTTTATTTTTGGTATGTTTGCGGTTGTGGGGACTGAACGCAGGGCCTTGGCACTGATCCACAGCTCTGGTCCTTGTCTAAGACAGGTTCTTTTTTTTTTTTAATTTTATTTATTTGTGTGTGTGTGTGTGTGTGGCCAGCTCAGCCCACCTGGGGGCGGGGCTGGCTGGCATGTGGTGCTGGGGGATTGAACCGCAGTCCCTGTGCTTTGCTAAGCTTGTTCTAAGTAGGTGCTTTAGACCACTGAGCCATCTCATCAGCCCTGTAAGACAGGTTCTTACTGTATGGCTCAGCTGCCCAGGCTGGGCTCAAACTTTCACAGCTCCTTCCTGAATCAGCCTCCAGGAGTGCTGGGACAATAGGTGTGAAGCATCATGCCTTGCTGCTGGAGGGCCAGGTGTTCTGTTGGCTTGCCTGTTTTTGTTTTTTGGGGTTTTGGTTTGTTTTTGAGACAGGGTCTCCCTGCTCAGGCTGACCTTGAGTTCACTTTGTAACCCAGGCTGCTCTGGAATTTGCAAAGATCTTCCTGCCTCAGCCTCCTGAGTGCTTCTGACATTTTGTTTCATTTTCAGACAGGGTCTCAATATATAGTTCAGGCTGGCCTTGAAATTACCATGTATCCCAGACTGGCCTCAAACTCAGCAACCATCCTGCCTCAGCCTGCTGAGAACGCTAATTCACACACAGGACACTAATCAAGTTGCTTAACCTTTCTAAATTGTAGACTAAATGGAGATAACAGCACCAGCCTCAGTAGGGAATTCCTAAACAGTAAACCAAATTCTGCACATAATGTAACCAGTGAGGAAGATTAGTAGAGAATAAACTTCTAGAAAATATCAACTATAAAGATGGGATAGCCAGCGGTGGCAGCACACGCCTATAATCCCAGCACTCGGGAGGCTGAGACAGGAGGATGGTTGAGAGTCCGAGACCAGCCTGGGCTACAAAGTGAGCTCCAGGCCAGCCTGATCTGCCCAGTGAGACCCTGTCTCAAAAAGACCAAAAAAAAAAAAAAAAAAAAAAAAGGAGGGGGTTAGTGGGGACAGAAAGCGAACCTGTAGAACTCCTGATGCCAGTGATATATCCTTGGTCTTAAAAATAACAGGGTCTAAGGTTGGTGTGGTACAGTGAAACTGTCTCAAAACAAGCACAGGATCTACCTAAATTGCCCTGACTGGCTTTGAATCTGCAATCTTCTTGCTCAAGTTTGGTGGTGTGTGTGTGTGTTTTTGATGTGTGTGTGTGTGTTCTGGCCCAGGTCCCTTTGAAGTAGCATTTTTCCTGTTTTGGTTTGAGAACAGGGTCTCACCAGTTCTCTAACCTCCTGCTTGGTTTTGTTTGGGTTCTGGGCCTTCAGACTGAGCTTGACCCCAACAGCCCTCTTTAATTTTTATTTTGAGAGAGTCTCAGGGGCTTGGTAGAAGAAGCGCTTCCC